CATCAGAGATGCTGCTTGGCCTGCTGTGTTCATCCAGCTCTACACCTTGTATCTCAAATAATTACCTGCCTGTTTTTGCTACCAAATTGGAAACCACACATTTATACATCTTATACAGCATCTGCCATGTATTCGCCCACTTAAGTAATTTGTTCAAATCACAAATCCAAATCTGCATTGTCCTCACGGTATACCCTCCAACTCTGCTTAATGTCATCTGCAAATGTGGAGATTTAAACATGTAGCTTCCTTATCTAAATCATTAATATCTTGTGAATAGGTGGGGTCCAAGCACGGATTCCTGCGCTACCTCACTAGTCACTGCCTGCCAGTCAGAAAAATACCAATTTATTCCTACACTTTATTTCCTGTCTGCCAACCGGTTTTCATACATTTCAGTACATGAGTTCCAATCACATGCACTTTAATTTTGTATGCTCATCTCTTATGGGACCTTGTCAAAAGCCTTCTGAAAGTCCAAGTAAACCACATCCACTAGCTCTCCCTTATGTAACAGTAATACCCTTAAAATAAAAATTCAGAAGATTTGTGAAGCATGACTTCCTCTTCATAAATCCATGCTGACTCCATGCTGTTTCTCTTCAGAGAGATGATGCCAGTGGTACCAGAATGTGCTTCAGAAGCAGAGGATAACAGCTTTTAACTCCAAGATTTTTTTTTAAATTAGGCAACAGAAGCATGAGTGGGTGGAGTCAGGCTCATACAGACCCACGCTTTTAGTTTTGCTTTCGGTTTAAGTTGTGGTTTGAAGCTGGCAGATACAGCTCTCTCTCTGCTACAGCAAAAAGCTCAAATTCTCTCACTGCAGCTAAAAATCTTCTTTCGGTGTTTCTTTCTCCTGGACTGGAGCAGATAGTAAGTAAGGAAAATCTGTTTTACTGAATTTTCCTTTGACAAGGGTGTGTTTATGGGATGCTGCTATATTAGAACAGTTGACGATTAGCAATAAAATAACATATTATTTAACTAAGTATTTTAATGGAGTTAAACTTGTGCCAATTCTTCCTTTTTTGTCTGTATTCTAACTGTGTTTTGCTTAAAGCCTCGTAGTCGACCAATCAAATCACATCTAGAACAGAGCACCTTACACTTTCCTTTAAAGAAGATAAAAGTTAAGATCTAGGCTATGACCTTGATATATTTTGAGGGGATTTGGTCTGTTTCATAACACTTCCAGGTGCTCAGCCATTACATCTTTTAAAATGGACTCCAGCACTTTTTCCACGACCAACCTTGGGCTAACCAGTCTATAATTCACTGTTTTCTGTTTGCCTCCCTTCTTAAAATAGTGGTGCTACATTATCCAACCTCCAATCCATAGGAATTATTCCAGAATATATAGAATTTTGTAAGATGACTACTAGTGCATCTGCTATTCCTAAGGCCACTTCCTTGAGTGTCTAGGATGAAGCTGATCTGGACCTGCCTTTAATCCTGTCAGTTTCCCCATTACCATCTGTCTACTAATATTAATTTCTTTCAATTCCTACTTACCATTAGGTCCTGTATTCCCTGATATTTTTGGGATGTTATTTATGTCTTCCTTTGTGAAGTCAGAACTAAAGTACGTACTTAACTGGCACAGTAGACTTAGAGCTGTCTGACCAACTCCTAACTTTTAAATTCTCCTTCCCCTCTTCTTAAACCAATCTCATGGGCATTTTTTTGCAATGAAATCACAAAGCTTATATTTCAAGGTATTATACTTTGATCATGTTAAAATAAATCCTTCCCAGTGACTTCAGTACTGAACTGGAGCAAAAATCAGTGTTTAACTATGTATTCTTACTGACTTCTTTGGAAATGTACCCCAGAGAAACTATATTGTACATTACATACTTTTTGTATGCATGTGTTTGGTCAATTGGTCAATTTGTTGAAAACAATACTCAAATCAGCTTAAAAAAGGATCCACAATATAATTGGACAAATTATTGGATACATAAAAAGTTCAATGCAAAATAGACAGAATAAGTAATTGCATGCTTTGCTTTTGTTATCAGGTTGGACACCTTGTCAGAATTAATGACTTTCTATAGATAAGCAATCTAATAAGTAAGATCATACATTACCACCTCTGGAAAGTGATGCAATGGTTCAAACTTAGCATCAATCTTGTAAAATGCTAGTTCCTGCTCCAGCTGATACTGTTTATGACATGCCCTTGTTAACTCTGCAGTCTTCTGCTTCAGCTGTAGCAAAAAAAGGTAAAATTATGAAAAAAAAACAAAGCTTTCACAATGTCTAACAATTGCAAATACATGTTTTTTTTTGTGAAGTGTGCTCTTCTTTCTCCTAGGGTAGCACAGTGGCTCAGTGGTTAACACTGTCACCTCACAGTGCCAGGGACCCGAGTTCAATTCCACCCTCGAATGACTGTCTGTGTGGAATTTGCACATTCTCCCAGTTTCTGCGTGGGTTTCCTCCAATTGCTCCGGTTTCCTCCTACAGTCCAAAGATGTGCAGTTTTGGTGGATTGGCCATGGGAAATGCAGGGTTGCAGGGATGGGGTGGGTCTGAGTGTGGTCCTCTTCAAAGGAGCAGTGTGGACTCAATGGGCTGAATGGCCTGCTTCTACACTGTAGGGATTCTGAGATTCTTGACAAGATAAAGTTGAATCTTGCTCCCTCAAAGATTCAAAAACAGAAGAGGAGGTGATCATCCAAAAACACAAAGAATACTGAGACACAAAAATCTCAGGTGTCATACTGCCCACCTCCATTGTTTCTGGTTCACGATAGAAATTATTTTTCACTAAATCAGCAGTCTAAAACATACCTGATGAAAACAAACAGCCACAACAAGTAAAGCGTATTATTGCAAACAAAAAAAAGTTAAAAAATATTTTGATACAAGTAATGATTTCAAAGCCTAAATTCATTTTCCAACAATTTTGTAGGCCATTGCAGGTACATCCCAAGATGTTGTTTTCTGTATAACGGTCACTATCCAAAAAAATTAATACTTTATGTAAACAGATCGCTTATCCAAAATGACCAAATTTTGATATTTAATAACTCAACACACAGTTCAAATTTCTCCACTTTGTTATTCAAATTTTTCTCTGTTCACATCAAATCACAAGCACCAACACACAGTCAAAATTACAGTATGTGACACGGAGATCACACATGGGTCGTTTTTGAAAATGTCACTTCTGTCATTCTTGGTCTAATAAAACAAAGAAATATAAATCTTAACGAACCCATAAATTCCATTTGCTACACAAACTCTAAACCTACACTATGTATTTTCTGTTCCCCCTGAAGTCGCAGTCACCCATGTCCACATCAATCTCCAGAGATTCCAAGATTCCCAATTTAAATTCTTCCATGACCTCAGAAAACTGCTACAATGACCTAAATCATCAGGCAAGTGCAGAAGATAAATCTGAACTGCTTCTCAATGCTCTAAAATCCATGGAAGAAACTTGGTTCATTTCAGTTCAACTTTGCACTAATAATGTTTGGAAAATTTTATTCTTTCACCAAATGCATCAATTTTTGACTGTTACAACATTCTTATTTCATAAGCTAACTCGCAAAGTAAAAGCAAGTTTGCTCCAGGGCACCAATGCAAGGACAGATATTTTTATATCAACCTGTTGAGACATATTAAGATACACTTTTGGAGTAAGTGGAACTCAATCCCAGGTCTTCTGACTCACTTCTGACAAGGGGCACTACCACTGAGGCAAAAAGTCCCAGTGCAAAAGTATAAGGTAACTCCAGCATTAACCGTAATCATATGACCACTAATGAAAGTGTATCAGACATTTAAATGCTGTGGTTACAAGGGCACGCTAGAGGTTGGGAACTCTGCAGCAAGTACGTCGACTGCTGACTCCTCAAAGTCTGTCTGCCATCTGCAAGGCACAAACAAGGAGACTTTTGGAATGTCCTCTTACTTGGATGAGTGCAGATCCAACAACGCTCAAGAGGCTCAAAACCATCCAAGACAAAGCAACCCGCTTCATTAGCACCACAGTTATCACCTTCATTACTGTCTCCCTCCACCCCGGTCACACAATAGCAGCACCATATATCACCTACAAGTTGCACTGCAATAATTCAGCAAGGTTTCTTAGATAGCTTCTTCCAAACCAATGGCATCTACTGCCTAGAGAACAAGAACAGGAGATACAGGTGATTGGGTTCCCATGTAAATTCCCTTCCAAGGCACACACCATCCTGACTTGGAACTAAACTGCTGTTTCTTCATGATCACTGGGTCAAAATTCTGGAAGTCCCTTCATACCAATACCATGATATACTTACACCACAGTGGCCACACCAGTTCAAGAAGACAGCTCAGCATGGTCCTTTTAATGGCAATTACAGATGGACAAAAAATGTTGGCCAAGCCAACCATGCCCACATCCCAAGGCTAAACAAAGTAACAAATATTGGCTTCTGTTATGCCAATCATATAATGTTGTATCTCTGTTCAGAATTTTCAGGTATGATTTTGCATGCTAACCACCGAAATCCTGTGTGTGATCCCAGTTGCATGCAACAGAGAGCTACATGCTATGATATCTAAAGGTAAGTGTACTGCGAGACACAACAGACATTGGCAGAAAATACTACAAAAAAGCAACAGGTTAAAGAAAGAGTAAAATGCAACATTCAATGAAGTTTGAGAAAAAAACAAATTATTTGCATGATTTTTGAAAAACATTTCAGTTAAAAACAAGTTGTTTGAACAAGCTAAAAAACTTTGCAGCCGTTAGCATTTCTAAATGTGCAAGCAAATAAGAGTAGCATTTGAAGTACAGTGCACAATTGCTTCTGTTTAAACAAAAGCTTTATACAGTTCAACATGCAGATAGATCAGCTGATGACAGATAAAGATGAGTTACACATTATATTTTCCACAAGCTACCTTGATTGGGAACAGAGGTGTAGTACGCGGCAGGGAGAGTATTGTGAACAACCAATGTTACCAGCTAAAGAAGAAAAGCAAGCACAGGTTGTCAGCACAAATTATAAGCACCTATAAAGAGTGCATAAGTATACACTGCATTTTTCCGCTTCCATTGAAGTCAAATTTGACTTTCACTGTTCACATCTGGATACATTTTTGAACACTTCAAAACCATACACAGTTCATGACACATTATCAAATTTATGACAGACATCTGGTATCAAATGCAAGGTTCTCCTACTGCACCTAGATTACTTGGTAAGAAACACAGCACCAAACAGTTTCACCTTCCTAGCGAAACCATGCCAGGAGTAGCACAGGAATCTTTAGATGATTGTGCCACTGCGTCTGTGGTTCCTCACGCACTATAGTATTTTATTTGCCAAGCCTCTTGCCATGAGGCAGAGGGAACAGCTGAGTACTCTTGAGTGTGTTTTTCTTTAGTAAGGAAGATGCTGCCAAAGTCATAGCGAAACAGCACTCAGTACTCAAGTTGTGGATGAGAAATTGGATCGGCTAAACATTGATAAAGAGAAGGTACTGGAAAGGCAGGCTCTACTTAAAAGTTGATAAATTACCATGACCAGATAAGATCTATCCAAAGATAAAGAGGGAAGTAATAGTGGAAACTGCTGAGGCAGTGACTACAATCTATCACATAATTAGATATAGAAGTGGTGTTAGAAGATTGGAGAATTGCAAATGTTACACCTTGCTCAGAAAAGGGCATAAAAGTAAATGCAGCAACCACAGGTCAGTAATTTTAACTCCGTGGAGGTGCTAAAGTATTAGCAATGATAATCCAGAACAAAACAGAGAAACACTCAGAAAGACACAGATTAAATGTAAAGGAAGGAATGTGATTTCTATTTGTATTAACATAATTTTTTTAAGACTTTGGACTTTGAACAAATGGCATGTGGGTTTTGGTCTGTGTCTAAGAGTGTTAGCAGTAAACTTGTCACTCATTCTGGAGCCATAATTTTAGACCATTGTGTCAGAGAACAGTTGACTGGGGGCCTCGAGTTGATAATGTGAGTTTCTTTGTATTGTGAGAGTTTTACAATTGGAGACAGCAAAAATTGAAAGGCATTAGTTTGCTTTTGTTAAGAAGAATCAATTTTTTTGTTTGCTTAGGATAAACCCACATTTGGTCACAGTTTGCAGAAGACCTGGATAGGGTCAGAGGTAAGAACAGTTTCTGAAGCCAAATAAAATCGAAAGAATTGTGGATGCTGTAAATCAGAAAGAAAAACAGAAATTGCTGTAAAAGCTCAGCAGGTCAAGTCACTTGACCCGACCCCGACCCACTCTACAGATGCTGCCAGACCTGCTGAGCTTTTACAGCAATTTCTGTTTTAGTTTCTGGAGCTAGTTCAGAACATTTAGGAAACAGGCTGAGACTAAGGGTTGTAGTTTGAAAATTCCATAACAAAAATGGTTTTTAAAGCCCTGAAGCAGTTATTTGAAGCTAAGAAAGTCTTAAGTTCAATTGAGTGAATAATCAAGGGGAAGGCTATCAAACTCTTAAGACCAGGAAGTGAAAGAAAAAGTTAAGTCAAACTTCAGATATAAGAGAGGTGGGAGCTCTCTGGTTTGAGTACAGTAAAATTACAGTGCTGGGAATAGATGGGATTTTATTTTGCAAAATTTATAGTATTGCTTTATGAAAGATCCCTACATTAAATCTATCAAGCTAGATTTCAGCCTGAGATCTGACTTGTCCAGAAATAATATAACTAGGATCTTTTTTGTAGCACAAGGAAAGCAGATTTCTGAAGGGAAATTGTGTTAAATAAGTTCTCTGAAGTGGTAAATAGAGGTTGATAAGGTTAATGCAGTTGACGAGGCCTACATGAATTTCCAAAAGATGTATGATAAAGTGCTACATAAGAGATTTTCAGCAAAGTTGACACCCATGAAACAAACGGGATTGTAGAAGTATGGATACAAAGTTATCCGAGTGACAGGAAACAGAGCGCTAATAAAACCTTCTATTTTGGATTGGAGCAGGTTTCCTCAGGAATTTCTACTAGGCCTTCCATTCTTCTTAATAGAATATCCTGGACAGGTGTGCAGGGCACAATTTCAAAGTTTGTAGGTGGCAAATATTAATTAAATATTAATGTTAAAAATTAATTCAAAGTCATACCAGTTCATTCTTGGTTTCCAACTCTCTTTCCAGTTCCTTGTAGTTGTTCTTCTGTTGCTGCTGTTCCTGTTTAAGTGACTTGTTCAGTTGTTCCTGCCTTTTAATGTTCTCTATAGCCTTAGATTGCTCCTGCTCCATCTGCTCAATCTCCTTCGTCTTGCTTTCTAGTTCCTTCTCTAGTTTCTCTAGTTCTTCTGCACAGAGCAAAAAATAAAAATGGTTTGTAATCTTGACTAAGTCCGTCTCTCTGGCTTTAATATTGACTTGAGTTATCTCTGACAATCACTAAAATGTACACTGTTGACATGGTATGATGGATGGGTGCATTTGCATTTGGGGAAGAGATGTTGGAGCACCATGTTAACAGGGGAAGGCCTGATGTGGGGGTGCCGGTGTTTGATTGGGATGGACCACGTCAAAAATCACACAACACCAGGTTATAGTCCAACAGGTTTATTTGAAAACACAAGCTTTTAGAGTCTCACTCCTTCTTCAGGTGTCAGTGAGACAGGCAGCATCAGACACAGAATTTATAAGCAATAGATTAAAGGGTCACTGCCCTGATGCGATTTGAACAAACCTAAGATGGATGTTAAATCTTTAATCAGCTGGAAACGATTAATATGCAAATTCCCGAATTTCTTTCAAGTCACTGCCCCAAGATAACTAAAGGTTTTATAAGTTCCCTCGGTATGCCAGAGGTGACATCCCAGGTCAGACAATGCATTTTAGGTATGAGGCCTTATTTAGAATCTGGCTGTGCATCAACTTGGAGTCAGACTGGTTTTATTTCCAAAGCAGAGGGGAAGGGGGAGCAGAGTCTGCAAACTTGGTCTGCATTTTCTTCTCCTTAGCGTCTTGCTGAAGTTTATGAACTTCTGCCACCTTTAATTCCTACCCAATGTCACCATCTCAGCTATTAATTTGTTTCTGTTTCAGCAATTTTTAAAAAATCTAAACAAAAAGCATCAAAATTGTTATCACTGTTATTATAGGTTAAAAGGAAATCAATGAAAGGTGGAATTTGAAATAAAAAAACTAAAATTGTTGGAATACACAAGCTAATCTTCGTTATATTTAGAAAACCTAATAATTGACAAGGTGTACTTGACCACCAGATTATAACCACTAATTTAATTTCACTATAATTCAAACTCAGTTGAAGTATTTTAGAAAAATAATACGTATTTCTGAATTTAATTTACCTAAATTAAATCGTTCATGAGCCTCTTGCCGCTCCTGGATAGTTATGAGCTGTCCATCCAAGCAATTCAAAGAACGTAAATGATATATTACATATAGTCGGTAATGCGGAAGACGAGCAATAGGATTATTTGCCAGAGTTAGTGAAGTCAACTCTTTCAAAGGTTTCAGTTTAGCTATATCCTGGAGCTAAGCAATAAAACAGGAAAATATTAAATTATCCACAGGAAAATACATCTAGCATATTGTCTATAAAATCATAAAATTAATCATCTTGGCAAGAATAAAAATATTATGAGATTATAATCCAGTCTGTAATGTCCGAAATAAACCGTGTTTAGTTCAACCTTACCTATTGCCTTGCGACCAGCTATTTAAAAATACACAAATTACAATATTTCTTCTACAATAGTTTTTGTGATAATGAACAAAGCAATTTAAACATGTGATGAACAAAAGCTTCCTTTACCCAAGACACATATGGATTTTTTTAATCCTAATGTTTATACCCAATATTCGAATTGGGCCTTCTGTTCTTTATCTTCTAGAGTTATCCAACTATCAGAATGGAACATAGTGCAGCCAAGAATGTAAAGCTCAAATTAAGGTCTAGCGCTAACATTTGGTAATTCATACTGTGAGTGCTTTAGGAAGTTAGAGGTTTTTTTTTTACAGTTGGGTCTTCTGATTTCCAAACTGCAGTTTTCTCAGTTTCAAAAAATGAAAATGATTACAATTTCTCACGATTACAGTCTGTTTGCAGATTTGTTTGATTTTGATGCCTGAAAAACTGTACATTATTGAAGGAGGAATGTTAAATGAATATTTCCAATCTCCCCCTCCTACAAATTACAATTTTGTACATACTCCTCAACTCAATTCGTTTATTTTAAACACATAAATTCAAACCTTCAATTTTCCCTGAATATTCCTATATTCCAAATTAAAATCAACATACCGACGTAATATTGTTTTGCTTGAGGTTAAGAATGCGAAGGGATCGTAACTTCTTTCCAACCCAAACTGGAATTTGTTCAATATAATTTCCAGCCAGCTTCAGACTTTGAAGGTTCACCATGTGCTCCAAACTTTCAATTTTACTAAATTCAGAAAAATAAATATATTTATTTTGAAAGATATGAAACATATGCGCTGCCCGGATAGGCAAAGTCAGAGTGAATGCTCTTAATATTATCCAATTAGTAACAAAATAAAGCTGTATTGCTCTTAGGACCAAGATTAAGTGTAACATCATCAAGCAAGATCTACCGAAAGTTCATCAAACCCTTAACTGAAAATTGATATTACTGATTGTTCTTTATTTTATACCTACTCAGTTAACCATACAAGTAAATATATTTTTCAATCATGTTCTCATTGGTGAAAGCGCAGCATCTATCTCAAGTTACTCACCAAATACGATTATATGAAAGACTAAGTTCACGCAGTTTAGACTGTTTGTCCAGTTTTTCTATTTTCTCAATCAAATTGTTATTCAGGTTCAAAACCAATAACTGCTCACATTTTTCCAGGTTTTCTATAAACTGAAGATAAAATGTTATTGATTCTTCAGCTAACAACATAAAGCAAGTTATATACTTTGTATTCCACCTTAGGCATTTACTCTATAGTGAACATATGCTGTGACATTTTGTTTATTCTTTTCATAAATAGGTTCTCTCTAAGACAGAAAATATCCATTCAGCTGGAATTTACAGTGCTCAGCTTTAGAGCAAAATACATTTTGACCTATATCTTGCAGCAGCCAAAGGCTGAAAAATGATGGTTCGATGCGAACTTTCCCATCTTCTCACTGTGAAGGATGTCGATTCTATTTGATGATTTCTGCATTTCATGGCATGGAATAGAACTAAACAGAATTGGAGAATTGTTAAATGTTTTCTATGCCTCAGGTGCTGCACTTTCCAACTCAAGATTGCTGAAATTTGATCCTGCATGGTTTTTTAAACTGTTAGGCTTTCCATTACAAGACTTAGGACATTATCTTTTACATCATTAATATTCTTTATTAATTGATTAATTACATTAGACCTATTTTTCATCAAATATCATTAAATCACCAGCGGACAAAGACACATCCCTCCCTGATGCGCTCACAGCTTTCTACAGTCAGTTTGAGCAAAATGCCAGCAGGGCGGTGATGCCTGCCCCACCAGCCCCTGGTCACCGCTGCATGCGTTAGATCTGTATTCTTGGAAGTCAAGCCATCAGTAATGATCTCCTACAACCTCTCCCGTCAAGCAGAAGATACAGAAGCCTGAACACATGCACCAGCAGATTCAAGAACAGCTTCTTCCTGACCGTTATTAGATTGATGAATGGACTTTAGCCTCAAATAATGTTGATCTGGCTAACACTCAGTGCAATGTAACCTGCATGCCTCTGTCTAAGTCTTTTTACGGCCTGTGATCTGTACATCCTTGCTTACTATGATCTGGTGTACCGCTCATAAACAAAGTTTTTCACTGTACTTTGGTACCTTGACAACAAAACAACTGATCAATCAATAAAAATACTGCCATTTCATACTTCCAATCAAAATTAAAATGTTAAAATTATTTTGCAGAGCTATGATCATTTAACACAAAACTTAAAAGTATTCCTTCATCTGAAGTTTAATTGATGTGATTGGCCACGTAGTAACTAAGGCATTTATTCAAGTTCATGGTGATAAGTTTTAGTCCTGTTGGAAACAAATATTCAAACCAAATTTGCAGTAAATTCTGAAACACTCAGTGATATGACATTCTAAGAGATTTAAAACCAATACTGTATATCATTGTGACAAGTTATTGTCATTTATTGCTCACAGTATGTTGTTTTTGAGACTAGCTGCTGAGCAGAACAAAACCAATAAAGTTTTCAAAAAATCTGAAGCTTTAAGTTTTCTGCTAACCCAGTCTTCTGGGTCAGAAAATGAATGAAACGCCTCCTGCATGTTAATGTATTTAGCAGAGTGCAAACATGATTCTATGGCAGAGAATGTGATACTTTTTTTCTTATTTTCTGGTAAAATAGAGAAACTGTTTATTATTAACCTTAATTTCCATTCCTACTGAACAAAGCTACCTCGCAATATTCCATGTATTATCTTTCACACACAACCCTCTAATCACTCCATGTAACATAATTACAACACCTATTTTTCTACTTCTTATGGCTAGACCAGCACTTTATACAAATAAGTTTTCTTTTAAATTCGAGAGGAAAAGCAAATTGTGACATCACAGCTGACAGATATCGGCCAAATCCAAGATTACAACAACTGACAGGGTGTTGTAAATAAGTTACATGGAGCAATTAGAGGGTTTGTGCATAAAAGATAAGTTAATTTCCATTCTTACTGAATAAAGTCAAGGCCAATAAAAACAGCTTCTGCATCTTACTAACTGTCATCATAGAGGCATTTATAAGGAACAGTTAGATTTTATGAAAAGTCTTTCTTTAAATTGGGTAGGATGTACAAGTTATCGCTGGTATAGCAGTTAAAAAACAATCAAATTGAACCCTAACAATTGTGACCGCAGCACACAAACTGTCTGGCAATGGTCTGCTTAACCAGAGATAATTTTCAAAAGATTCTCAAATTATTGAGACATTATGTAAATCAATTCTGCACCAAGCTGGATGGAACTGGGTATCAGAGGGCATTATGCAGTTTGTAGAAATTTGTGGACTATTGCCAAAATATTGACAGTGTAGGTTCCCTATTGAAACTCAAACTATATCACTTCTACAGACAATTTTTTAAAAAACGTTTAGATCACTGTTTCAATTAATTCCAAGTACTACCTTAAACTTCTTCCCTGTTTCCTTGGACAGACATAAGTTGAGAGAATGCACAGAACTAAATTGTTCTTCATGTGACTGCTTTTTAATTAAGTCCTCAGTGATGTATCGAACTCCAGTGTTTTTATTAACTACATCTGAAAAGGATAAAAAAAAATTCAAAGCATGCATCAAGACATAATGGAAAAAGAATGTATCAGTCAGATAGCAGATAGTTTCGGAAATTAGGGAGAACATGAAAATGTGATGAATTGGGTTTCAGTATGTGGGAATTACATTCAAAACAAATATGTTTCCTCTGCGTAAGTGAAGATTAACAAATGAGGAATGTTGAGGATGCTAAAACTTGAGAGAAACTCATATACTACAGGGAGACAAAAATACAAGTTTGAAATAATTACTTACAATTAATAGCATAGCCCAGATTTTCCTGCAATGATAAGATCAGATATTTTCCTTTTCGCTATCTCGCACATTGATCACACCAGCAATTTTTCTGCATTTGTACTGAAAATTACATTGCACAGTTGATGACAGCAAATGAAAATGAGCTGACATCTTTGCCAATAATTTTTTATATTTGAAAATCAGCTTTTAATGCAGTTACACAGGACAACCCTTATCTAACTGTTATATCTTCGGCTAATTACTTCTCAGAGGAATTTATCAGTCTCCTTCATTTAGGGCTATGTCATAAATTTAAAAGTGGAGATTCTATGGGAGTGGTAAGCCTGTTTATTTGTCAGAAATCAGTCCATCTCTAATAATTTAAGAAAAAACTTTTGATAGCTGTAACACATGATACAGCAGCCTGAAAAATAACATTTAAACAATCACACAATCACATTTGCCACTGGTGCCAATATCGAAAAGAGTCAGGAAAATATGAAGTGCTCCAAGTGATGGCTTATATTATGTGCACCAAATTTCTCTACTTTTGCACAATGCAGCAATCTTGATGATCTACACACATCATTATAATGATACATGTTTCCAAGAAATTCTGAACTAATACCCTGGACTTGAATATGAAACATTTAAATTTCTTACTCTTTCCAGTAACGTATGCAACGGCAGATTCGCTTTCACTTCTTTCACTGACGTCAAGTTTCTGCACACCAGTGCTTTGGTTACACAAATCTGGAGTATAAGACCTGGTGGCTGGGGATGGTGATCTAGTTCTTGGAGTTAAGACTGAGGATACTGGAGTTTGCATACTACTTCTGGATGCTTGCAGTCTAGTGACTGCCAGTTGTTGTGGAGTTCTCTTTCTCATGGTGTTTGCAGCACTCAATCATTGGGGTGAAGTATAAAAGTTTTGCAACATGATGAAAAGTTGAGGTAAATCTGTGTGGACAAGAAAACAATAACTCGTAAGTAAAGACATTTTGTGATATTCTTCAGGATGTGCACAACTCAACTCACTTCACTTCTGCGGATAGCCCTGAAATTTAACAGCAGCAAAACAGCATGTCTTTTATCTTATTACATGTAGGCACAGGCCAGAATGTAACAGAATACTCTGCATTTGCCTGGATGAATTCAGCTCCACTGCAGAAATTCATCAAAGCTTAGAAGGCACCTTTCAAACCCATGACCACTACCATCTAGAAGGACTAGAGCAGGAGGTAGATGGGAACACCATCATCTGCAAAATCCCCTTCAAGTCATTTAAAATCCTGACATGGAAATATTTTGCAATCCCTTCACTATCATTGGGTAGAAATCCTGGGACTTCCTCGCTAAAGTATTTTGGGTGTACCTACACCAAATGTACTGCAAATTCAACACGACTACCAACTTCTCAAGAGAATTAGTGATGGGCTATGATCCAGTCAGCAACGTATAACTCCTAAATAAATTAAAAATTGCAACTCATAGCACAAGAAAAGCATATAAGTGCAGATCTTACTTTACCCTGCACAGAGAGATCAACAATTTACAAACCTGTTGTCAGACCTCTTCCCAATTTTCTAGAGTGTCTCCTGGAAAAGAATTACCAGTAGCATTTGAGTGGCACATTTGCAGTGTCACAATTCATTTCCTGATGAGTCCACTGGTGCCTTAATAGAAGGGAATCTGTTAAAGTTTGGGAGCAAGAACATGTCATCAGATCTCTGTCAATTGAGAAGCATGACAGTTCCCAGAAAAAGCCAGTCATAAAGATAAGTGAAAACAAAGAAGTAACTTAATTCCACAAAGATTATTTCAAGTACATTGATCTTCTTATTTATACCCTAATTCTAGTTCAGTGATATTGTTAGTGTGCCACCGCTTCACCAAGATTGTGGCTGTTAGATATTTTTAATCAACTAGTTCAGATGTGCCATGACACATCGATAGAGCGGGTGGAATTTGAACCCAAGCCTTCAGGATCAAAGTTAGTGACAGTGCCACTGTGCTGCAAGGGTCCCAAGAACTCCACTGTTATTATAGGTGGAAACTGTCAAATTATATATTAAATACATTGCCGCTGGTGGTCATTTAGTTTTGGGATGGGGGGGCTCACTCAAGCACATACAGAGAAACGCAGATACTTATAAATAACCTATCTAGATGTGTTACAGCACACTTCTGGATGGCCCAAATGACCTCTTTCCATGTTGTAAAAACTCTAACACATTGGTGCAGGTGGGACTTGAACACATGTGCATCACAAGAGTCCCCAAGAATAAGACCTTATTTTTTGTTAAACTATTTTACCAATTTTTCTGAACAACCTGTTCCGAGACGTTACTACACACCTCTACAGCATGTGGGACTTGAACCCTGACTTCCCTGTACAGAGGTAAGGACATTACCACAGGGCCCAGAATACAGTTCTTAAATATATAAGTCTAAAGAGCATCCATTTGCTCTCAATGAAGTTTGGATTTGACCTATAATAAAATCAAAACATTGCAGATGCTGGAAATCTGAAACAAAAAAAAGAATGCTGGGAAAACACAGCAGGTCTGGCAGCATCTGTGGAGAAAGTAAGAGTTAACGTTTTGAGTGTGGTTACAATTCTTCTTCAGAGCTGATTTGTTTGAGCATTAAAAGTCTCTGTACTTCTAATGTTCACAGTCATAGTCTCTTCACCAGTAAAAACATTAATTAGAAAAAGCAAACATGTTCAGTTTTCCTGTTTTAGTTTTCTCAATGCCTAGGACACAAAAAAAAAGAATGAAAACAAAGGTAGAAGTAAGATGAGCTACAAGAAAAAGCTGATCAAATAAGTTTCCTACCTATGATCCATCTTCAAATCGTATGCCCACTGATTTCTCGATCTTCATTTCTGGGTTAGGCTATCAAATCATATCCATTATGAGGCTACTGATTTGCAGCAGCTACCTTGACTATACTTCCATCTTTCTCTCTTCCTGTATAAGTTCTATTCCATTTTTTCAATTTCTCTGTCATAAATATTCCAGGATGCACCTGCAATACAAATTGTTTTGATACGCCTTCGTTTTTCCTCAAATGAGGATTTCTTTCACCCGTTAGTAACAGGGCCTTTAACTACATCTGTCCTACTACCTGCACTTCTACTTATCTTACATCTCTTCCTTTCCAGATTGTATGGTTCCCTCCAATTCTTGTTTTCCATTTCATCAGATTCTACATTTAAATGTCATTCTTAGCCAGTTCCACGCCAAACAACACATTCCCCTTCCTTCCCTTTTTCTACCTGTGCAGGGAAATATTCCTTTCATATCAGCCTGGTTTCCCCATCAATGTCCCCCAACACCCATTCCCATGGCACCTTCCTGTGCAAAAACTGATAATGTAACAGCTTCCTGTTTTTCTACCATCTGAGACACAAAACACTCTTTCCAGATGAAACTTCCAGCAACCTATTTGTACATCTTTCAATTCACTATATTACATCTGTTGTTCATGATGGGATCTTCTACATGTATGGGAGACTAAACATACAAGGCAATTCTATTGAATGTCTCCATTTGAATCGTATGCATAACTCAAAGTTTTCAGTTCTCTGTCCCATCCCCAAACTGTCTTGTTTCATTCTTTTATAGGACATGGGCATCTCCTGCTGGGCCAGCATCTATTGCTTATTCCTAGTTGCCTAGTTCCAATCCACAACATCTGCCCCCGAGAAGGGCAAAGGCAGCAGATACATGGGAGCACCACTCCCTGCAAGTTTCTTTCTGAGCCACACAGACCATTCTAACTTCAAAATATATCAACCGCTGGGTCAAAATCTTGGAACTTCCTCCCTATGAGCACTTTGGTATCCCTACACCACACAAACTGGAGCAATTCAAGAAGGCAGTTCACCACCATCCTGGGAAGGGACAATTAAGGATGACAACAAACAGCCCCCCGCCAGTGTCTCCCGCATCCCATGAACAAACAAGATTCACACTGCTCACATTGACATAGACAATTACACTGCTTGGGGGATGCGGGTGCAGTTCACAGTTTAAACAGACAATAAATTACTATCACATACATCCTTTCTCCTTGCTTTGCCGAACTTCAAGTCACAAAATTACTGGACCTAATTAGCACAGGTAGAGCCACTGGTCCCAGAACTATCACTGACTTGTTGCTTGGAAGAATGGTCATTGACATCCCCAGGCTGCAAGAAAGACTCAGAGTTTCATTGCCCTTACAGCAGGGCCTCCTAAACTATAGTTGTGATCCTACTGGAGGCCGCAGATGTAAAATGAGACTTTGGTGTCGTGAACTGCAACGAAGCAATAATGGGTGTTCGGCCTCTTTAAACCCTCATGATTTTTGTTAATGGTGGGTACAGCCTAATTCCTCCTCCAAAACTAAAGCTTCACTGCCTCTTACAGTGCTACAATAAAGCTCATCATGAGGTCAAGGAACAGCACGTCCACTTTTGATTAGATATTTTACAGCTTTCAAGGCTTAAATGATTCAACAATTTTAGACCATAACCACTAATCCATTGTTTGCTGTTACTAATAATTGTTAATTCCATTAGAACTTTAAGGGGTCCCTCTTGTGACGCAGTGGTAAACTCCTTACCTCTGGACTGATAGACTCAGGTTCAAGTCCCACCTGTTTCAGAAATGTGTAATAACATCCCTAAACAGGCTGATCATAAAAAAAAGTTAATAACTCGGCAGTGGGGGACTCTTGTGGCACAGTGGAGCAAGACACTGGACCAAGAGATCTGGGTTCAAGTCCCACCAAGTTCCAGAGTGTGTAACAACATTGCTGAACAGCTGATTCAAAAATAAGGTTAACAAATCTAGGAAGGGACCTGCTTGTGGGGCAGTTGTCGCCCTGCTGCTGAGCCAGGAGGCCTGTGTTCAAGTCCTACCTGTTCTAGAGATATGTACACCATCTCTGAACATGTTGACTAGAAAATGGCTAAGGGTTTTAGGGCATCTTGTGATGCAGAGGTAGTGTCCCTACCCCTGAACCAGAGGCACCTGGGTCAAGTCCCACTTGCTCTGGATTTGCGTAATAACATTCCCTGAATAGGATGATTAGGAAAACAGGTTAAATAAAAATTTTACAACTCCAGGAAGGGGCCCTCCTGTGACACAGTGGTTGTGTTCCTACCCCTGGAGTGGGAGGCCCAGGTTCATGTCTCACCTGTTCCAGAGGCGTGTAATAACATCTTGTGGGTTCTTGTGATGCACTGGTAGTGTCCCTATCTCTAAGTCAGGAAGCCCTGGTTCAAGTCCCACTTACTCAAGGCATGTATTAACGTCTCTGAGTGGGCTGAAAAGAAAATATCCATTTACAACTCTTCAAGACACATCTTTTATTTCTTTCACTTGTCCCAATACCACCCATTTCTGCCCTGCACTGTCTTTTGTTTTGGCATTTAATCTCTCCCACCTTCCTCCCTATCAGATCTTTCCCTTATTTCCTTAGCTTGTTTAAACCTGTTACATCTCCAACTTTTCCAAGCTCTAATAAAAAAGTCATCAACCAGAAACATTAACTTGTCATTATTTCAGAAAGGTGGTAAGGGAAAGCCAGGGAACTCTAGACAGGTGAGCCTGACATCAGTAGTGGACAAGTTGTTGGAGGGGATTCTGAGGGACAGGATTTACGTGTATTTGAAAAGGCAAGGACTGATTAGGGATAATCAACATGGTTTTGTGCATGGGAATTCGTGCATCACTAACTTGATTGAGTTTTTGAAGAAGTGACGAAGAAGATTGATGAAGGCAGAGAATTGGACGTTGTTTATATGGACTTCGGAAAAGCTTTTGACAAGGTTCCACATGGTAGACTGGTTAGTGAGGTTAGACTACCTGGAATCCAGCGGAAGCTAGCCATTAGAATACAAAATTGGCTTCAGGAAGGAGACAGAGGGTGGTGGTGGAGGGTTGCTTTTCGGACTGGAGGCCTGTGACCAACAGTGTGCCGCAAGGATCAGTGCTGGGTCCTCTACTTTTCATCATTTGTATAAATGATTTAGATGTGAATGTAGGAGGTATGGTTAGTAAGTCTGCAGATAACACCAAAATAGTGGCGGACAGTGAAGATAATTATCTCTGAGCACAACAGGACCTAGATCAGATGGGCTGAGGAGTGGCAGATGGAGATTAATTTTGATAGATGCGAGGTTTTGCATTTTGGTAAGGCAAATCAGGGCAGGACTTATACACTTATTGGTAGCATATTGGGGAGTCTTACCAAACAAGGAGACCTTGGGGTGCAGGAAAATAGTTCCGTGAAGGTGGAGTCGCAGGTAGACAGGGTAGTGAAGAAGGGGTTTGGTACACTTGTCTTAATTGATCAGTGCATTGAATATTTGAGTTGGGATGTCATGTTATAGGACATTGGTTAGTCCACTTCTGGAATAGTGCATTTAATTCTGGTCACACTGTTATAGGAAAGATATTGTTAAACTTGAAAGGGTTCAGAAAATATTTCCAAGGATGTTGTCAGGGTTGGAAGGTTTGAGCTATAGCGAGAGGCTGAATAGGTTGTGGCGTCGGAGGGTGATGGGTGACCTTATAGGGGTTTATAAAATCACAAGGGGTATGGATAGGGTGAACAGCCATGATCTTTTTTCCAGAATAGGGGAGTCCAAAACTAGAGGGCATAGGTTTAAGCTGAGAGGGGAAAGATTTAAAAGGGACCTAAGGGCAACTTTTTCACGCAGAGGGCAGTGCATCGAATGAGCTGCCAAAGGAAGTGGTGGATGCTGGTAGAATTACAACATTTAAAAGGTATCTGGATGAGTACATGAATAGGAAGGATTTAGAGGGATATGGGCCAAATGCTGGCAAATGGGACCAGATTAATTTAGGATATCTGGTCAGTGTGGACAAGTTGGACCAAAGGATCTATTTCCATGCTGTACAACTGTATGGGTCAATAACTTAGTTTCTTTCCACAGATGTTGATTATTACCAGCATTTTGTGCTCTCATTTCAGATGTTTAACATCCTTAGTACCTTGTCTTAATATCACCATTATATTAGCTTTATCCCTGATCCACAATAACAAGTGATGCAAAGTGTAGAGTTTTATCGCTCATGTTACCATTTAGCTAATCCAACATAATATGTTGCTTCAAGTCATTACCAAATGCAATACTTTGCAAAATCAATTTTGAATTTCAGATCACCGGGTCAACGTATAATCACACTCCAAATGTGAAGTGATAGTTATACTGCTTTATGGCAGCAGTTAAATAATTTTGAATCATAGTCATAAAGTCATACAGCACAGAAGCAGACCCTTTGGCCCAACCAGTTCATACTAACCATAATCCCAAATTTAAACTAGTCTCACTAGCCTGCACTTGTGTCCTATATCCCTCCAAATATTTCTTATTCATGTACTTATCCAAATTAACCAATAATAAATAACACTGCATAGTTGCCAAATCTCATTTGGTTTAAACAATCTAATTTGACCCAAATAAAAACCAAAAGAACTGCAGATGCTGTAAATCAGGAACAAAGTTCTGAGGAAGGGTCACCGGACCCGAAACGTTAACTCTCTTTTCTCCTTCACAGATACTGCCAGACCTGCTAAGCTTTTCCAGCAACTTTGTTTTTGTTCGTAATTTGACCCAAACTCTTAAAAACAAATAAAACTGCATATACTTAATGGATTTAGTCTTACATCGTTGATCATAATCTTTCTCAACAGTTGCCTGATAGTGGCAACATTACCAGTCTTTAAAGTTTGTGCTGTACAAAATCGAGCTAGAGGTGCGGGGTTATTACCGAACGAACGCGGCACTTGTAACACATATCAATTTGCTAATCATAATCGCCCCCTTCCTTATTCTACTCTTACTCCCAAAGGTAGAAGTGCCATACCTATATCGCAATTCAGAAGAAACGGTTCTGTTTTGATAATAACTGAAAAATGAAATCAATACAGATAACTTTTTATTATTTTACTCCAAAGTTTAACATCAGAACTTGCGTATTCAGGTAGAAGGCTTTTAAGAGTTTGTGTATCGGCTTTCCGTTGACATGGTAACCATTCTCCCTCCCCTGGAATTTAACCAGATTGATGGGCCGCGAAATGTAACTTAAACATGTAAAAACTGTCTCCGTTCCCTTGCTGTGAATGTACCTGTAGTGAATTCGGCTCGGAGCCAGTTCAGATAATGATGGTAAGGGAGAGGTGAAGCGAGGAAGAGAATCCGATGCTGCCGTGTGAGGACGCCATCTTTGTTTGTGGAGAATGGGAGGCGGGTTTCCTCGCGCTTCTTCCTTCCGCTGCACCGAGAACCAAACGTTAACGGCTCCAACTGTCAGATGCAGCGTTAAACTAGGAAGGATTGCGAATTGAGAAGTGAAAACTGGAGATTTTTTTAATGCTCGAGATAATATAACAAATGGATGAAGTGTAAACAAAAACTTAAGGCGCGGGAACTTTAAAGCAGAAGACATTGTAGCGAGGACTACAATGTCACCCATGAACTACATGACGAGAAAGGAAATTAAATGTGGGAGTAATTGGGGTAAATGTGAAAAATACAGATAAGAATTTGAGGTCAGTTTAGTCTTCCTTGATTCTTATATTATCTTTCTGGTGTTATTGAAGTTGAACAAGGCTCATTGTGGGCAAAATTTCCCCTTTGAGATGTAATATGTCATAATATCCGATGACAAAAGACGAGGCTGGCCCATTGTCGATTACACCTAGGTATCTTATAAGTGCCAGCTAGTTTCTCTGTAAAAACAAAGCAGTTTGATGCATAAAAACAAATGGCGTAAAATCATATATATAAACCAACACCAAAAATGAGAAATGGGAGGGATTGTAGTCTATGAAGGATGTAATAATTTGAAGAGTAAGAAGGCAGTACAAAATAGATAATGCATAGTTTCTGCATTCAGTATCCTAGACAATATTGGTGGAGCATAATAAAATATTATCTATAGCAGGATGCTGGGGAACCTAATGCAGTAGTCCTGAGGTGAGGATTTCAAGACAGAAAGTCAGCAGCATGAAGAGGATTGAGCAAGGTGAGGTCCCCATGAAAGCATTACCAAAATCAGTGAGTGAGGTGAAGTCCCTAACAGAGAGGCAGACCAACTGGTGGTGGATATATTTGTAGTCTATGCTTAAGTAGGTGTAAGGGTAAAATAAAAGCAAGGATCCATAGTTTATTTAGTTAAGATATGTTTGGGGAGGTCAGGCCGAGATATGCACATCCTGCAATCATTTGGGAAATCATAGGTGTATGTGGCAGTCCGATGACCATGTGCCCAGGAAGTGCCCCTGGCTGGAGCAACTTGATCTCTGGTGTTTGGAACGTAAGTGGCAGCTGGGGGCAATACAGTGAACTCCTGCGGGGAGGTTTGTGGATTGCAGGTTTAAGGATGTAGTCACCCACAGCTTAAGGAACTGCAGGCACAGAGACTGAATGCCAGTGAAAAAGGGAATAAGGCAGGTAGTGAGGGAATCTTCTGAGTGCATCTTGCTCACAAATTGTTTTTTAGTTTTGGAAAAACATATAGTGATGTTTCCTTTGTGGAGTCCAGCTAGAGCCAAGACCATGGCACTGGATGGTACAACTGCTAGGATGGACTGAGTGTGGGAGAAATGTGGAAGGGCAATAGTGGTAGGGGATCTATTAGTGATGGGAGTAGTTCAAATGCTTCTATGGCCATAGATATTACTCCAAGATGGTATCTGGCAGGGCTTTCTGAAATGGGAGGGGAGCAACAAGAAGTCATGATCTGTGTTGGGACTAGTGACATAGGAGAGAAAGAAATTAAGTCCAGCAAGCAGACTTTAGGAAGTTATGATGTGGAGGTGCAGGTGTTGGACTGAGGTGGACAAGGCCAAAAGTCACACAACACCAGGTTATAGGCTAACAGGTCTATTTGAAATCACAGGCTTTAGCATGCTGCCCTTTCGTCAGGTGAAGTGATGAGGGGCAGTGCTTTAAAAGCTTGTGATTTCAAATAACCTATTAGACTCTAACCTAGTGCCATGTGACTTTTGACCTTTAGGAAGTTAAATATAGAATTGAAAGTAGGACTTCAAAGGAATTAATCTTTGCATTACATCTACTGCCATGCAGTAGCAAGTACAAGATTAGAAGGATATAGCAGATGAATATGTGGCTGGAGAGATGATGCAGGAGAGAGTGCTTTAAATTCCTGTTATAATGGGACCTTCTCTGGGAGAAGTGAAACTTTACAAATTGGATGGATTACATTTGAGTAGGAACAGGAACAACATCCTCACTGGGAGGTTTGCTAATACTATTAGAGTGGATTTAAAATAGATTGGCAGAAGGATCGTATCCTGACAAGTACGTAGTTCAGAAGGGAGAAAAGCTGAGATGGAATTAAAACATAAAATGTTAGTAATTGAATCTTGAAGGCAAATGAAATATTGTTTAGATAAGAAAGAAGTGAATTTGGCAAGGCTAAATGCAACATATTTTAATACAAGGGGTTTGAGGAACAAGGTAGATGAGCTGAGGGCATAGATAAGCACGTATGTATGATGATATAGCTATGACCGAGATCTGCTGGAAGTTGGGCTGGACCAGCAGTTCAACATTCATGGCAAGATAGAAGGAGGTTGGAAGAAATAGGGGAGAAGGGTTTGCAAAGTTGCTCAAGGAATCAATTATAGCAATGAAGAGGGATGATACTTTGGAAGGAGCAGAACTAAAAAACATAAAAGGAGTAAACACACTGTTGGGTGAGTACATGATGAAAGCAAACAGGGAGGGATAGAGAATCAAATATGTAACCGAATTTCAGATAAGTTCAAGAATAATAAGGCATAGGAACAGGAGTAGGCCATTCAGCCTGTAAAGCTTGCCCCACCATTCAAAATGATTATGGAAGATTGAATACTTAAGTGCCTTCACTTATCCCATCCCTATAACATTGTATACCATTGGTAATCAGAAATATATCAATCTCCCCCTCAAACATATTCAAAGTCCTCCGTGGTAGAGAATTCCAAAGGTTCACAACCTTCTAAGTAAAATAAATTCTCCACATCTCAGACCTAAATGCCTAATCTCTCTTCCTAGGACAGTCCCATCATGCCAGGAAGAAGTCCAGTGAACTTTTATTGCACTTCTTGTCTGGAAATATCTTTAGATACCTTCACAAAGATATCATGGACGCCAAGAGACAATGCCAGACTAGACAAGAGTCCCAAACTAACATACGAACAACATGTTGACTATGGCAAGGCTTACAACAATATAATGGGCTACAAAACAAAGTTGAGTAGAATCACTGACAACAATGCATCCCTCCCCAATGAGATCAATGCATTCTATACTCGTTTCGAATAGAAATTCAGTGAAATGATGTCACCAGCCCTGACAGCCTTGGGTGCACTTGTACTCACAGTTGCCGCCGTAGATATCAGGTCAGCATTCTCAAGAGTGAACTCATGGAAAGAGACTGACCAGGATTGAATCTCTTGGCTGTGCGCTCATATCCTGCGCAGACCAACTGGCGGGAGTATTTGCAGACATCTTTAACATCTTACTACGATGCGAGGTTCCCACCTGCTTCAAGAAGACCACTGTTATCCCAGTGGCAAAGAAAAATCAGGCAATGTGCCTTAATGACTACCATCTGGTAGCTCTGACATCCATCATTATGAAGTGCTTCGAGAGGTTACTAATGACTCATATCAACTCCAGCTTCCTAGATTGCCTTGATCCACTACAATTCACCTACTATTGCAATAGGACCACAGCAGACACCATCTCCCTGGACCTACACTCATCCCTTGAATATCTGGATAACAAGGATACCTACATCAGACTTCTTTTTATTGGCTTTAGCTCCACCTTCAACACCATAATTTCAACGAAAGCCATCTGCAAACTTAGGGACCTGGAACTCTGCTCCCCTGAATGCAACTGGATCCTTGACTTCCTGACCCACAGACCACAATTAGTAAGGATAGGCAAGAACACCTCCTCCACAATAATCCTCACCACCAATGCCCTGTGAGGTTGCGTACTCAACTCCTTACTATACTCCTTATACATTCATGGCTGTGTGGCCAAATTCAGCTCTAACTCCATTTACAGATTTACTGATGACACCACCGTAGTAGGTCAGATCTCAAACAATGATGAGACAGAGTACAGGAAAGAGATAGACAGCTTAGTGGCATGGTGTAAAGACAACAATCTCTGAATGTCAGCAAAACAATGGAGCTGGCCATTGAGTTCAGGAAGTGGAATGGAGTACATGCCCCTATCTGTATCAATGGTGCTGAGGTGGAGGTTGTTGAGGGCTTCAAGTTCCTAGGAGTAGATATCACCAACAATCTACCCTCGTCCATCCATGTCAATGCTACAATCAAGAAAGCACACCAACACCTTTATTTCTTCAGAACGTGAAGGAAATTTGGCATGTCCACAATAACTCTTTACAATTTCTATAGATGCACCAGAGAAAGCATCCTAACTGGATGCATCACAGCTTGGTATCGCAATTGCCCTGCCCAAAACTGCAAGAAATTACAGAGAGTTGTGAACCCACCCCAGCCCATCACAAAAACCAGCCTTCCTTCCCTTGACTCTGCCTACACTTCCTGCTGCCTCGGGAAAGCAACCAACAAAATCAAAGACCCCTACCACCCCAGTTATACTCTCTTCCATCAGGCAGAAGATACAAAGTTTGAAAACACACACCAACAGATTCAAGAACAGCTTCTTCCCCGTTGTTATTAGTCTTATGACCGGACCTCTCACAAAGTTGATCTTTCTCTGTACCTTCTTTGTAGCTGTTATGCTATATTCTGCGTTCTGTGCTATTACTTTGATGTACTTATGTAAGGTATGATTTGTCTGGTTAGCATGCAAAACAATACTTGTCACTGTATCTCTGTACATGTGACAATAATAAATGAAATTCCTGTGATAAGACTACACATAGTATTCCAGGTATAGGCTAATGAAGATTCTGTATATTTACAGGAAGACTTCACTACTCCTATACTCATCCTCTTGCAATAAAGGCTAATATTCCATTAGCCCTCTTCATAGCTTGCTGCAACTGCATTTTAAAAAGAGCAAAATACTGCAGATGATGGAAATCTGAAACTAGCACAGACTGCTGGAGAAACTTAGCAGGTCTGGCAGCATCTGTAAAGAGAGAAATAATTAATGTTTTGAAATGTTAACTGTTTGTCTGTCCACAGATGCTGCCAGACCTGCTGA